TTTTTGATGTTTTTCAGATGATGTTGAAAATAGATTAAACATGTAATGTATGAAAATGAATGAAGTATATATAATAACATTTGTCTTTTACAGCTGACTCTTACAGTTGATAATCAATCTATTATCTCTTTTCTTTTCTTACACTTTTTCTTTATCTGCTAGTCACTACTCTTACATGATCTCTATATGATACAGTGTTCAGTGACTAGATTTGACAGCTTTCATCTTTGTAATTCTGTCTCATGCATTATACTGTCTCTTTTCACCTGCTCAGATCACTACAGTGAACAGCTCATTGAAACTAATCTCATTCAATCTCTGAGTGTTCTCAGAGGTTAAGATGGCTTGATTTCATGTGTCTGTGAATATTTCAGATAGTTCATCCTCTGTGATCTCTGTAATTGAACTGGTGTAAACAGTTGAATTCAACTCTGAATTCCTTTTTCTTCTGCAATCTGACTTATGTGCAAGTCTGCTACTTTGAGACTGCTTTTTGCTGCATTGTGTTCACTGTTTGCAGTGTATTATCATATGATCAGCTACAGTCTCATCACTTATTAAAGTGTGATATTCACCTGATTTCTCTATTACTTCTCATTCTTTTCTTATAATCATGAAAAGATCAGAATAAGTGAGATCATCTGGTTTATAAGTGTCTATGATTTCTCTTACTTCATGAGACTTTTTAATTGTAAGTCTCTTCTTTTTCAACACTGATAATAGTGCTGTGAATGATTATAATCTGCTCAGATCTTGCATCTTTACTTTCATAAGTCATGAATTATTGATTAAGTTGTATAAGATTCATCCCTCTGATTCTTTCAATGTGTACATTTCCAGAGAATGTGATTTGAGTATCTTATATGATTCAAATCATCTAGATTGAAACTTCTCAGAACTCTTATTATGTATAAGAACTTATATTCTCATCTTGAGACTCAATTTCTTAATAAGTGAGTCTCATATTCTTTTCAATTGAATTGCTCAGTTCAGAAGTAACTTGTTAGCTTTTACACATGTGTGACTGATCTCTTTCAATCTTGATTTCACATTCACAACTGCTGCATCTGCAACTGCTACTGCTGTGTTTATAACTGCTGTTTCTGCTGTGTCTGCAACTGCTGTTTCTGCTGCATTTATAACTGCTCTCTTCTCCACCTTTTCTGAAGCATTCTCTGGGATGCGCGGATGCAATCCATACAACAGATAGAATGATGAATGCTTGATAACTGCATACTGTTGAATCTGCATGATCAACAGCACCTGCCCGAGATATTCATCTCATAGTCTTATAGACTTGCTCACTAGATATTTCATCAGCATGTTACTCAAGATTTCATTCAAGTATTTCATCTTCCTGTTTGTCTGCAGATGATATGACATTGTTCTACAATGTCTTGTCTGTAACTGGCTCATGAAATGCCTCATCACTTCTTCTACAAGGTTCACACTGTTATCAGTTAGAATCTCATGCAGCATTTCATAGTTGACATAGATTTCATCATATAGAAACTTCATCATCATCTCCTCTGTTATCTCTGAAACTGCTTTCACAACTGATCAGTCAGTAGTGTAATCAATAGCAGTGATTATTCATCAATTTTCATTTAATGTTCACAGTAATATGTCTATGAGATTCATCTCTCATTGTTTAAACAGTTGTATCATACACTTCATCTGATATTATGCTTTCTCACATTCTAATTCTTTCTTAGATTCTTTCATGACCTGATAATTCAGGCACTCATGAGCATACATCTGAATGTTCTCAGCCATGCTTGGTGAGTATACTCTTGATTTGAGTACACTCATGAGTCCAGGACTTTCTAAGTGACTGAATTCCTTATGCATATGAGTCATCAAGTCACATCTAAATGAAGATTCTAGATAGAGAGCTTCTGTGTATTCTAGATTACAGTCAAGCACAATGTCATTTTTCAATTTTCTCAGCTTGAAGTTCAGAAGCATCTCTTCTACTACTTTTATAAGACACTTGTCATCTGACATCTTGTCATTCTTTAAGCAAGAGATCATGATATTCATTCATTCTGATTCCTTGCATTCTCTCAGCACATTTAATATGAACATCTCTTGTGCCTGGTTTGTAGAACTCTCATTCATGAAATCAGGTCTGTGACTGATTGCATTCAGTATCACTGTGTTCAATCTCTTCTAATATTTGATATGAAGATTGTATGCTTGGAACTCTGAGATTCAACATGCTAAGTATTTTAAAGGTTTTATCATTAATTATAGATAGATGAGGCTTTTGTGATCTGTGATCACTGTTGTTATATGCCTGTTGTCAATATATCTATCTCACAACACCAGCACATGCTTGATTGCTAGCAATTCCTTTTCATGCACTGAGTAATTGAGCTTGACATCTGATAGTTTCCTATCATTGTACACCATCAGGTGCAGCTTGCTGTTCTTGCTTATCTGTAAAAGAGCATCTCTGATAGCTCATTCAGATGCATTCATCTCAATGTAGAAAGGTTTATTATGATCTGATTAAATTAGCACTGAGAATGTTGTTACACATTCTCTCAGTGTGAGAAAAGCCTCTTCACACACAGTATTTCAGATAATTAAATGAAACTTCTTCTTTCACAGATTTATATCTATTTCTCTTAAGAGATCTGAGAGTGATGCAGATATTCATGCAAAATCCTTGATGAATCTGTGAGAGTATGAGATTAACTCAAGAAACTGTTGTATATGATGTATGTTTCTCAGCCGCGGCCAATTCACAATGACATTCAATTTCTCCAGAATAGAGTGTATACAGTCATCACTCACTACATATTCTATGAACTTCAACTCTTCTATTTCAAACACACACTTGATTGATTTAATATAGAGCTTATGCTCTGTCAGAGTTGTAAGCACTTCATTAAAATGCTTCAGATATTCATCATATGAGTTTGAAAAGACTAGAATATTATTGAGATATACAAGGCATGAGGTTTCATTCTGTTTATGAAGAATTGTATTCATCATTGTTTAAAAGATGATAGATGCATTTGTCAGACTGAATGATATTATCAGGAATTTGAACTTCTCTCATTGCATATTAAACACAGTTTGTGAGACTGACAGTTCATCTACACAGATCTGCCAGTATTCTGAGAGAAGATTAATCTTTGATAGATATCAGGTGTTTTCAACTGTATTCAACTGTTGTTGAATTCATGACAGTGAATATTCATTCTTGATTGTAAGCTTGTTAAGTGCTTAGTAATTAATACACATCTGCTACTCTTCACTCATCTTTTTTATGAATAGAACTGGAAAGTCCCACGCGCTTGATGAGGGTTGTATAAGACCACATTCTAGAAGGTCAGTGATCTGACACTTCTGTTCTTTGAGATGTATTTGTGACAGAGAATATGCATTCTGATTGACTGGTTTTACATCTCTCATGTCAATCTCATGTATGAATCCTCAGTCCGGCGGCAATTCTGATGAAAGATCTGTTTAAAAGATCTTTTCATGCTTCTTCAGAAGCTTCTTCATATGCTTGTCCTTCTGTATATTCTTTATCTTGATTTTCTTCACTTTCAGATCCTGTATGACATACAGAATGCTTTCAGATGAGGTCTTGTAAATTATTCTCTTTGCTTATTGATACATAAGCAGATTTAACTCTTCTATATCAGAGATGTGAAATGTCCTTCTCATATCAGTTGATAGAATTGTATGAATCATTTTCTTTCTATCAGTTAACTGCATATGACATGTCTGTCATTGAATCTGCAGATTGAATCTTTGAAATCAATTGAGTCTGAGAATAAGGTTGTATTTCATATTCTGCAGCTCTCACGCTCAAATATAGCAAGATTATTCTTCAAAGTGCAAGGAAACTCTTACTCTTGCAGATGATATCAAATATCAGTTATCAGATAATCTTATACATCAGGGATTCTTCACTCAGCAGACCTCTTTCAATCTTTAAATCATATAATCACTAATATATTATGTAGAAGCTTCTGTATTCACTAACACTTTTGCAGTCATCTCTCAATTCTTACTCAAGTGCTCTCTATACATTAACATTTCAGGCCTCAAGACATTGAAATGAATGTTCACTTCATCATTCTCATCTGCATCTCATTTGAGAGTCTGCTTCTTCTTTGCATTTGCAGGATTCAGAGAGTCATCTAACACAGGCATCTCTTTCACTTTGAAGACTTTTCATAGAATATCAGTGAGTGTCTCTGAACTCACTGATTCTGCTAGTTTTTTAACTCTCTTACTTCTCTTGACTGTGCACACTGAATGCAATCTTTTACATCATGATTTTAGCATTCACAGTTGAAGCAAGCTTGATGCTTTCAATATCAAGATTTTCACTCAGAGAATCTCTTTTTCAGAGGATTCAGTGCTTTAGTGATGACATTCAGATCTAGATTCATTATGTCTGAGTGTGTGACTTGTGTCATAGAAGTCTGATTATCTGTTCTCTGCTGAGATATACTCAATTACAGTATTTTCTATCACAATTGACTTACTTATTCCTGTATAATAAGAATGTTGTATGCTTCTTTCACTGTGCCTGACTGTAAGGTTAAGCATTTTCATTTCACTATCAACTCAGATGTAAGATTATGAATGAAGATCTGTAAACAGAAAGATGTTAAAAGCTCTTCATTCAATATAAGATAGTGTAAGCTGAAGTGTGTGAAGTATAATATAAGATTGCTCACTTGTCTACACTCAGTGAAGTGTTTATAACACTTATCTCATGCATTCACTTTCTCAAAGTTGTGCAAGATTCACTTGAAAAACTCATTTCATATTCATGAAAATGAATATCACTTCAGGTCTGTGAGATTTATCTTTTTATCAGTCATTCATAATAACTTCACTTTTCTGTGTAGAAACATGACAGATCTTAAGACTTATTGAAATTCTGTTAACTGTCTGTCTGTGAGTTCATATTCAATTCAATAATATGATTGCATCTGACTTAGTCAGCTGATTACAGCATCATTTTTTCAGTTATCATTGAAGCTTAATGACTTCAGCAGATCTCTCAGCTTGATATATTTCATACTCAGATTCTCATTCTGCACAGCAGTCTCTGATGATGTGTATACTTCTGAAGAGATTATGAATGATTGTGATGAGATCTTCAGGTTCAGTGTAGTTACCTGTCTGTGTAAACATTCAATCTTCTGCTGCAGGCCTAAGATCTGGTTTTCTCTATTCTTATTGATAGTGATGATTGCATCAGCAAAGCTCTTCATAGTGAATGCTTGATCTGCAGTGAATGTCAATTGTTGTTTGACTTTCATCTCAGCCTGCCACTGCATACACAAGGCCTTGATCTTGTTTAGAATTCTTGTATATGTACAGAGCTTTGATTTCAGTTCAGCAGTTTCAGCTGCTTTTCTTACTGCTTTGAGTAAATCCTCTGAGAGGTTCTGCATATCTTCCAGTTCAGATAGCAGAGAAGAGTGTTATTTATATCAGCTAGAAGAGATATTCATTTCAGTGATTGATTTCTGATTAATTGTACAATGTCTATCATTATATCACTATATTGTTATATAATTTCTATTATCATTATACAACTCTGGTGATGATCACTTCCTCTTTTATCTCTTTGAGTGAAGAGCAGTCTTCTTTGAATCTGATTCACTGCTCTCATCTCTTTTCTCACATCTCATCTATTTGCATACATGGCATTCATCTGAGCATGGAGTTTTTTCTCAATAAGCAAAGCAGCATCAATCAGATGCTCTTTCACTCACTGCTCTTTATATGCTATCTTTTTAAGATGTTCTAGGATCACACTGACATGATAACTATGAATTGCTTTGTAGATGAAATTATCATGCTCTGAAGAAGTCTGCACTTCTCACCAGTTTTTAGACATGCTATCAGATGTGATTCAAAGATTGCTTAAGCCAGTGTACAATTACAGGCGTACACCGGCTTCTTATATATTGTAATATTATACACTAATTATAATTAGCAGCCGCTATGGCCCCTTTACACTTGTACGCGTACGCTAGTAGTTCGGACGCGGCCGCGTTATTATCCGACGGTTGTACGTTCTTCCGAACCACACAAAAAACTTATTTAAAGAGAATTTTGAAAGTAATTTGAAGAAGCTGTAAAGACAATCTTTGTTAGAGCAGATATCAATCAAATTCAATTTTAATATGAATAAAACTGAGTTAATTCACTTTCTTTTCTGAGATTCAATGAGAAAGAACTATCTCTAACTCTTTTAAATAGAGAGATTAAACCCAGTGTAAATGTTCAAATGATTAGAAGTATGATTAAACTTTAAGTTGAATTTTAAATATCACATTCAACAAAGAACTGTCAAGACAGAAAGACTATTGAATAACATAATCAGACTATCAAATACAGAGAGAGGTCTATTCTTCCAGGCTATGAGACAGTTATATATAGCCTGTATTACATCAGTAGCTGATTATGAAGTTTAAGTTTAATAGAATAATCAAGGGAATTTCACTGAACTCTTTCAAAGTCTGTAAAACAGAGCCTTAAGAAGAATTCTGAAAGCATTCAAATCATCTTCTATTAAAGTAATGGAAATTGAAGCTTCACTTTCTTCTCCTGCTATTAGATTTGAAAAGGCCTGTATAAACTATGCTCTGAGAGTTGTAAAGATGAGCTTAAATCATATAATCAGAGAAAGAGTCTCTTCTTTATTTTCATTAATTAACTCTGGCAATGAACTAAATTGGAATAGATTTCTTGATTGAAATGAAAATAATTCTTCAAAGAAAATGCCTTCTCAACTGTACAGACTATGCTCTCTGATTAAAAATCAATTTTCTTCTTTAAATATTGAAAAAGTTGATCATGAGAAGTTATCTCCCTGAAGAGAAAAGCTTGAATCTCTTATAAACTTACAAATAAGTGAACTATCAAAAGAGAAAGAATGTGAACAGCATTTGAAGAGAATTTCTATAATCAATATAAAAGACTCTATTCTGATTTATTCAGATGACTCAAAAAATGAGAACTTGAATAGATTAGACACAGACATTGCTTATACTGAAGATAATATCAATTTTATCTCAGATTTCTGAAATCTAGGCTCTGAATGTGAAGTCTTTGATGCTGAACTATTTGTAATAGTGAAAGATTTCAAACTCATTGAAATGAAATCTCATAAAAGAGGAAATTGTTTGAAAGAGATATGAATATTCTCTGATAGTCAAGCTGCTTTAAAGAGACTTAGAAATAGTCAGATTCATAATGATCAAATGAATCTTGAACTGATCTTAAACTCTATTTTGAAAATTCAAAAGAGAAGAATATCAAAGCTGATAATTCATCTGCACTAAGTTCCTGCTCATATGAATATTCATGACAATGAATTGACTGATTCAGCTGTAAAAAAGAGTGCAGAATTAAGCAGATCTATTCAAAAAATTATGTCCTGATCTTTTATAAAGAGAAAAATAAAAGAATCTTGTTTAAACATGTGGAATGAAAGCTGACAGAAACAAAAGAAGAGTATACATTATTCAAGATTTGAAACAAAACCCAAGTGAAAATCTTGTTCAATTAAATGTAAAAAGAAAATATTCTCATCTATAATACAGCTGCAACTAGGACATGGCTATTTCAAATCTTATATATAAAGATTTGATGATAGATTTGACTCAATAGAATGCTCATTCTGTAATACAAATGAGAATCCTGAGTATATTGTAATGTACTCTGTATTATACAATAGTCTCAGAGCCAGATTGAAAGAGAAGTATGATCTAAATCAATTAAATATAAGATTCTTATTCTCAACTGAGACAGGAATTAAATACTTAATAGACTTTCTATCAGAAACTCAAGCAGCTATAAGAAAATGACTAAATTCAGAATTATCTGAATATGAAGAGGAGGAAATCAATCAGATATAGTCTGTTAAAACAGCTATATACTATCTTTTAATAATTTGTTTTGTTACAGTCTTTCTTTATTTTATCTTTTCCTTTTAATTTCTTTCTGTCTATCTATTTAATGTGTCTATCTTTAAGACTGTGTTCTCTTTTCCTTTGTCATGATATTGTCAAA